CATCAAGTGGTTCTCTCGGCTCCTTACCCTTGCCGCCTTCGAACGTCGAGAATGGTGCAAAAGCTCTGACTTGGCTTGAGTTCCAGAAAGGTTCCTAAGTGGAAATGGGTGCTTGGGGGAAATGTGTAAAAATATTGTTTATGCTGGGTTATGTGCGGAGCAAAATGGGAAGAACAATTGTTATGGAACTGAACGCACAGAAGGTGTCGGAGTCCGACCTTGGAGCCTAAATCAATTTTTAAAGCAAACGTATTCCACAGAATCCTTTCAATAAATTCCCAAAAAGTCCTAAATTTTCAATCGAATCTGGAATTCTTTTCAAAGTTTTTTTATTATTATTATTGATCTAATATTCTCTCTTGCAGACTAGCGACAAGTAGGCAAATCTTAATTTAATAAAGTTCTACAGCCATAACTTTTATTGCTGGGTGGGGGGGTCTCTTCGCCGGAGTCGTGTATGGCTAGTCAAGTCAAGGACTGGAATGCAAAAGCCCATAAGGATGAACTTAAATCTTAGCCTGGTACTTTGCGTTCCCCTCGGCGATTCCATCTGTAACAGTTCTGGCAATTAAGGCTTTATGATCTTGTAGGGCACCGAGGACTGCAGTGTGATCTGCGAAAGTCGAAGGTTTTGTAAGACTGTCTGCCGGTATATCTGCTGTGTAGATGATATACAGTGCCGGCCAGTTACCTTTGCAACTTACTGCGAGATCTCCTTGCTAAAGGTACTATTTTATGATATATACAATAAATGATCTGAAGGAGATATATTCTGAGTTTGTGAATTAAGCCATCCTGCCGAACGCGGTCGAAAGCTTAGGCGACATCCAGACCGACAGCGGAGCGATACTCTCTTCTTTCAAATGCATTTCATATCTCAGAGGTTTTCCGGTCTACTTCTTCAATGGTTCTATGTTTATCAAAAATTCTGGATACTTATCCAGGGGGATTGTACTGTTTATATGTAGGTGTTGCTTGACACGATTCAGGAGCAGCTTTTCAAATATCTTCGATAGATACCGCAGGAGACGTCGATCATGGATCACTGCGCGGACAGATTTCCCCCATTTACTAGGATAATATACCCACTTCATCATGCTGTTGAATAATACGAATAAAAACTAAACTGCACAGATTGGCTCAAAGGTAAACCCACCAGAATTGGAGTTCTGAAATGCGTGTTTGATCCACTTTGCAACTCCGCAAGAATCTCTTGAGAATTAGCATAAATTCTAAAACAAATTGGCTACTGCAAACGGATTATCGATAGCCCGAAAGGCAATTGGCGAAATCCTTGCGGCCGTATTTAAACTTAAATGCGGCATAATAAGCCAGTCAAAGTTGGCCCAGACGGACAGGACACGACCAGTGACGGGCCAAGGACCCTCCACTTCTCTCCTTTGAAGAGCTGAAACTAAAGCCAAAGCTGGATCCTGGACCCGACTGGCTTTCAACGGAAAATCATTACCAGAAATGTCCTGCAGCGTCATTTGTAAGCGCCTTTGGCACTCTGCCCTCGGTCGGGCGATGGAACCGGAGGGACTGAGCCCGAAGCGAACTCAGAGCCACGACGAAACAACTGCTGGCCAACAGCAGACACTTAAGTCTAATGGTTTTGTCAGCCACGCCCCTTGCCCCTTGCCACTCTCGCTATCCCTGTCCCTCAGCGCGCCCAGACCCCATCCATGGCCACAGCCATAGCCCCTGGCACTCGCAGCGAACGAATTCCCTTCAATTCGAAATGCCGCTGCACGCATACAAATTGACAATTTTATTAGCACATAAATTAGTAAAAATAATCAATAAGCAATGTGCCAAAAAGCAGTCGAAAGAAGAGGAGGCAAAATATATATCACCGCAAGTCGAATAAGGAATACTCTAAAAATAATATATTAGTCGATTGTTGTAGTAGTAAAAATATATATGGAGCTGACAAACTTCGCCGATGTTGTACGCAAATTATTCTTACATTTTCCATTTACATCTATGTATACATACATATGAATTACAATTAAAGAATAGAGAAAAGTAAATGTACCCGCCGGACCACGACAATCGGGGAGGGAAGCTAATGCTCAAAATTGGAATTGGTAGATGGCTGAAATAAATTCAATTTATTGGCTGTATTTATGCTGCGCCCCAGCTCCGTCTCTGTTGGCCAAGGAACGGAATGGAATTGCAATTACCATGGCAATGCCAGGCCGAAACCAAAGTCGATGCCAAGGAGTCGGCCAGGATTCCAGGATGATGAGAAGACGGGAATATTGGTCAATTAGTAGCGGGGAAGAATCAGACTTCTGCACCCACAACATCACCGATGTAGACGGACGGACAGGGACAAGGACAGATTCCTGTTAATTCGTAATTTTGTTCTTATTTTTGTCTGCTGCTGCCTTTTTCGCCGACTTTTTCCCCCGAAGTTGCTAATTGCTTAATTCACGAACATTTTCGCATTGCATACTTTTGGGCGCCTGGTTGTCAGGGAAGGGTCGGGTTGTCGGTCGGGTCGACTGCTGCGGGGCGTGGCACCCGTCGAGTAGTTTTTCAACTATTTTGCACCAACAAAAAAGATGAAAGTTTCGCAACTGCCGCCTCCTGCGCGAATCTGACTATGACGTCGACAACGGAGATGAGGATCGTGGGGATGATGACGATGATGATGCTGCTGCTGCTGCTGTTGTTCCACCCCGAGCCGGATTGTTGCTTTTGCTGCTTGTTGTTGTGCGCTAATTAACTCGATTTTTGGAAGGGAAAACCGTTTGCTAATTTGAAAACGAAATAGTTTCCCGACCCCCTTCGGCGCAGCTCTCAAAGTGAAGTTATGAAACCTGCAATGAGACAAGCCATGAGAGATGCACATTTTGATGGAACTTTTTTCTGTTACAACGAGGGAAAGTTCAACTCAAAATCAGTGCAATTTCGAATACTACTAAATCAGCGTTTAATCCCAGGATGCCATCCTCTGAACCTTTTCATAATTGATCCTTATACTCTAAATGCTTTCGATGTTTGATACTTTTCCCAAGTGATTTCTAATGTCGTAAATATCAACCTTCAAAGCTCAAAGCTTTTACACAGCTTTAATATTCTGCAAATGACTTGAAATATCCTTTCGTTTTGATGGTCTCAACACTTTCGCCCATGACTCGCACAGCAGCATGTCCATCGCGTGTTCAATGAATGCAAATTTGTCCGACTGGCACGCGGCCAAGTTGGCCAGAAAGAATAATACAGAGGGGGGAGTGGCCACCGTAAATGTCGGAAATGAAATACAAGTTGACGACAAACGGAAGCGGGCTGGACCGAGGGCAGGGGGCAGAGGGCGGAGGGCAGGTCTCGGCCAAGGGCGGGTCGCACAATTTGCTGTCATACTTAACTGAAATTAGAACGTGATTAGATTTCATTTAAGCATTAAGCACAACTGACAGCCAGCATGACAGCCCGAACCGGACGCGTGGGATGAGCAGGAGGGATGGGATGCGATGCGATGGGATGCAGAGAGGTTGAAAATGATATTTTGAGCGGGCAAATTTATTGACAATTAGCTGGAGAAGTATGAGGGGTGGACGAGGGACGAGGGACGAGGATAGAGAAATGGACTCGGCACGGCGAACATTAATTATAACGTGCATAATTAACAAATCTGGCAATCAGTGGAGCAGCGGCTTTAACTCGCCAGGAATTAGAGCCCTCCCGCAAGAGGGCCACCACCTCACACATAAACACACCCAGAGAGAGTCCAATAAGCGTTTAATCAGAACCAAGGCCGAATCTGTGAGGGGCGGAAAGCATGGCCATTCAGGCAGCGCTAATGAAAGCACAGCCGGGAGAAATTGGTTTACGGGCTGTTTACGCAAGTAGAAGTTATTAGTTGTGCTTGGATGGGGTGGTCGCTGCGGGCTGGTGGTGGGTGGTTCTTGGCTAATTTGCGGTATTAATGACAGTTAAGCGGAGTGGACTCAAATAGCCTCATAATTGGCAAAGGCTTCAGAAAGCAATTCCTTTTCGTCAATGCAATTGGGATTATCAGATGGGGGCTAGATGTGCGGAGAATCGATTCCAAATTGCAAAGAATTGGGCAGAGTAACCCACAATCCACTTGAAGAAGTCATCAGCGGGGGCAAAGGGTGGGGCTTGGTCTCCACAGACATCCCCATCCCTCACACTTCCCACCTGTCTGGGGAGAGGACACAATCTCAACTTTATCGCTACAAAGTTAAGCAAACACAAATAGATTAGTTCAAAAGTTCAGGCCGTTGTTCAACGTTCGAATGCCAAAAGTCAAATTGTGTCAACTGCTTGGGCGGCGCAGGAAAAGAAAGAACTGAAACAAAAGCAGGCAAGACGGAAAACATGTCAAGGCTGCCTAGCCGGATCCGGGCATACGGTCCGGGTCTGTATGTATGTACGTACATACATAGGTGGAGAGCCGGACTGCTACATGCTACAAGCAAAACAAATTGCCTTTGAGGCAGACGATTGACGATTGCCGGATCGGACGTTGTTGGTCTTTTGATTTAGTCGCTAGTAGGACGGAGGCAGGAGGGAGCATGGAGCATGGAGCGGCACGGCTTATTGAAATGCCTGGACTGGGTCAGGTCAAAGAGAGGTCACTGAAACTATATTTGAATTGTAAAGCAGGATGCTCAATGGAAGGTGACAAGTCCCCGAACGACTAGCCCCGGATATGCACTGATTGGAGATCTGACATCTATTTACCTTATCTTCTCAGGCAGAAAATTAGAATCTTACTCAGAGTTACCTCATCATTGCTCTGATTATGTAGAACTAGTCAGTCCCTCTAGTCAGTCCCCGCGGGTGCTCGTGCTCTCCGTGTAGTTCTTCAATTACTTTGCATAAATGTGATGCGACAGGAGCGACAACCTAATTAGCTTACAGACATTGCTACATTTCATTAAACAAATGGTCTCTGGTGTATAATTTTAATACGCAATTACCAGCATTTCAACGACACTCGATTGCCAGAAAGTAAGCCCTACCCCTTCCATTATGATAAGTACTCGTGTTCGCATTGCCTCCCACTCTTCACTTTCCACTTTCCTCCACTTGAACCTAAGCCGGAGCCATAAATTTCATTTGATGCTCGCTTTGCTGTCGAGTGTCGCGAGGGTTTAGGGCTAGGTTACCTTGACTCCTCAACCCTCAACGAGGGGCCTTCAATTATTTGACAATTTATGCGAAAATTATGTGCGAATTGAGCCGAGCATCTCCCAGGCAACCGAGGCCAAGAAGAAAACGAGCGATCCCTTTACTCCGCCACCATTAATCAATTTATTTAGTTGTCATGCTATGCCATCTCACTATATCTCGGTCCAGAAGCTGTCGAAAAATAGTTCCGTGGGGCAGACGAATCGGTAGGGCCGCCGGAGTACAAGCAAGATGGTCTCGTACATGTCACTGCGAAGTCTGAGAACCCGCACAGATTGCACAACGGACAGCAGCCCAGGTATTGGCAGTGGAGTTGGGTTAAAACGCCGTTCTGATGGACCGGGCACAGGGGGGGAGTGCCCAAGTATAACAGGGCCTTGCCAAGCGCTGTGGTGGAGCTCCGTGAGTGAGGGACTGGAATGGGGTGGGGCCGAGCGCCGTCTCATTACTCACCGTGTGCCAATTGCAGAAGAGCGTGTTTAATGTATTTGAGTGGTTTAGGTTTCATTTGATACTTGAACTTCATTTTCGAATTTGATTTTGTAGGTCGTCCAAAAAACGCGTTATGAGTGGTTTTGGGGTGCGAGGATACCGCATGCAAAGCACAATCCCGGTAGCTCTAGCTTTGGCTCGAACTCCTCTTTCTCACAACCATTCCAAAAGTGAGTCCGACTGGATCTGCGGAGTGTATTATTTACATACTAATTACGTGCAATACTAATTAATGTTACTATTCACCACAATTTCCACAACTTCAGGGCGGAGACCAGACTAAAAAGGCGCAGCATACTCTGCGATTTTCCCCAATTTCCATTCCCCCGTTTCTAACTGACAACACAAAAGCCGCCAGACGTCCGCCTCAATTAAATTTCGAATCCGCTTTGACGCCTGACGGGGGGCGGTACTTCCGCTTAGGTCGGAAATAGGCGGTGTAATGCCTTGCCTTATCATGGTTGAATTATTAAAATGTTTTAATTTATGTGCCCAATTATTTGATTAGCACTTTGGTAAGTGTTCGTGGAAAAAAAAACGCGGAATAGTTGTCCCCGTTCCGGGGAAATTAATAATGGATTGTTTGGCCGCTCTTCGGCTGATTTATTTACACTATTAATTGCTGGAATTCATTGTATATCCGCTTATGCACATTATATACCCATTCGATTGCACAACACAACTCGATCCAAGGACTAAGCCCCCAACTGACTGTTTTATTTATCCTACGCGTTCTACCTACCCATCGGGAGTTTTTCAAGCAGTAATTACCACGGGCTATATAATCATCTGCACATGGATACAGAATATGCATTTTAACAACTTCCACTGGCAGTGCGGGAAATAAAGTTGAAAAGGATTGCAGACTTTTAGGCGGGACAGTACAAATTCCCGTATACAGGTGGATGCATGCACTCATTGAAGGGTTGAAGGTGGTGAAAGCGGTGAAGGGCGTGGGTAGCCAGCCAGTAGCCATGGCAACTGCAACAAAAACACATTTAAAATGCAATCAATCAGCCGAGCAAAGAAAAAAGCGGGCCACACCCCCCCACAGAAGTTGCGTAAAATCGAAATTAATTTGTGTGCACATTTATTTATTTATTTTTTGATTACCCCTTAAACATTTTCACCGATTCAGAAAATGCATTAATAAACTTTTTCCGCATTGACCCTTCATTTAATTAAATTCAATATTAATTTTCTACAGAATGGGCTATTTTAATTGCCATTTTAAAACCGTAAATGAATTAATCATCAGCAAACAACTTTACCCATAGCTTAAGATGGAAATAAGCAGGTCTATCAGTCTAAAAAAATAAACTAAGTGGCAGCCAACTACAAACTACTGAAACGAACTACAAACGATTATTTGTAATGCCATTGGTATGCATGTATGTCTGTATATGTTGAACTACTGAGTTTATTCATTATGGAAAAAGAAATAGAGTTATTAGCGATAGACAATTAGATCGATTCAAGAGGGTGTCTATTGAAGACGCAGGGGTCGCTTCAAGACTTTGTCGGACTGAAAATCTATTCCAAGACGATAGACGAGGGGCAAGAAGTGACTGCTAGATCAAGCCTAAGATCAGGGACAGGCGGATAAATTGTCCCTGCCCTAATGCAAGCGAGAGCATGACAGATTGAGAGAGCGGTAGAGAAGACGAAAGAAAGAAAGACGCGAGGGAACGACTGCATAGGCTGCTGCCGTAAGGGAGCATATGTACATATGTATAAGTATGTACACAGTGTGGTACAGTGGGCAATGCAAGCAACAAGCAATAACAACGATTTACTTTACTTCTGCACCACTGGCTGTAATCTATGAATGTTGGATGCATTGGACATATTGCATATATTGAACAACAGCATATATTTTTCCACAGCTTAAACGACAGATCAGATCAGATAAATCTGATTTCTTTTAGGCGCCATATTAGGTATTTTCAGCGATTCTACGCTCCAGCTTTCTACTTACCGATCCACAAAAACACATCGCGATCGAATAGCTACTTCAAATAAAAAATTACCCATTTATTTTAAATTTTTTGTAAACTCCAAATTCCCTGAAAATTCCTTAAGTAGCAAGTATCTTTATGGAGTATGGAGTATCCTATAATTTTAAGGGGAAAATTAAGTTAAGTCGCCAAAAGAAATAAATTCTTCTTGGCTCAAATCTTCCTCTCTGCGCACTGCCAGTCCTTTCCAGTTAGATCATTTTTCCAGACCGGACAATCCGCCATCAAAATTATCATCTGCTTACCTCTTGGACATTATTCAGGTCCTCGTTCATTAACCCATAAAGCTTCGCTGGATAATTGCCATTACCATTAACTGGCTCTGGAGGCTTACGATCCGAATCCTCTCGAGGCTGACAGCGGCAACAAAGTCTTCACGGACCCGGAAGCTCTTTCTTGTTTCAGCCATCACTCCATCACTCCCATCGTTCCAGCCAACCACACACTTAAACAATTATTGCCAACCACATGGACATTTACCCGAACATGGACATGGACATGGACATGGACCCAGACACAGACATGGAGCCAGAACCGAGTCAGATACGGGATACGGAGAGTGCATGTAATGTGCTCAATTTTTCGCATTTTGCACATCCGTCGGGCGGAACAGGGCAAAGCAAAGCCGAATGGCCACCTGCCAGCCATAATAATATTAAACAATATATATAAATCACTCAGCTGTCGGGCCACCAGCAACAGAAAAAATCAAGTAGAAAAAAAGCCTGAGAAAATAAGTCGAGCAAAGGCAAAGTGTCGGACAGAGTGGAAAGCAAAAGGAGGAAACACGGCCCTGACAGAAGGAGGGTTTCATAAAAATTTACCGCCATAATGCTTATTTTAAAAGTCAATATGTTCGGTGCCTGTTATTTTAACACCCATCGTGTTCAGGTGCCACCGGTCCGGCATCCTCGTTCTCGTCCTCATGCTCGTCCTCATTCTCGTCCTGGTCGTCGACGGTCACATCCGTTTGTGAAAAGTACGAGACAAGCGACAGGAGCAGCAGCAGGAGCCAGAGTAAAATGTCAGTGGCCAACGTCACAGCCCACAACACACAACATAAACATAAAGTGAAAAGTTGAGCGAGGCAAGAGGGAAAAAGAAAATGCCGGGAAATAAGTTGGAAGGTCCACAGCACACTCCCCCGCCACCACCAGCCTTTCCGAGGCCATCTAAAGCCAAGCATCACATGTCGCCAGGATGCGAAGGAGAGAGGGCCTCGTTGTTCATATCCTGGGCTGTCGTCCGTTTATGTGACATGATTATGTGCAAAAAGTGCAACAGGCAGCCAACCGAGTAACCCGCCCCCACACCTGCCACACACCCGAGACACCTGACCTGAAAGTAGCCCCCGAGCATGGGCGGGGCTTGGTCACAGGCACTGGTACGGGTGCCAGCTGGGGCGTCTCTCACCTCTGTTGACAGGCCCGTAGCCCGGTGAGCTTACACGTGATTTTTCAACCCGACCTCGCCTCGCACTCGGAAATTATGGGAAGGGTCATGGATGTCACACACATACTCTTTCGAGTATGCAACCGTAATCAGCTCTGAGTAAAACCCAAACGCTTGATTACCAGGGGAATGGCTCGCATCTAGCCTAAAGGCAGCAACCTCAGTTATCGCTTAAGCCGATCCAAGCACCGGGAGATACTGAAAATCATGGTACCCTTGCAAAAAGTATCATAATTATCCAGAGTAGGATGCATTAATGACCATATTAGGTATTCAATATGGTCATAACCCTTTTTCATTAAAGATACAAAAATATTTTACACATTATTGGGAGACAGTTCTCTTTGCAACACCCAGAGTTTGAGGCGACACCGTATGCGGGTTTACCGATGGAAACAACTTGTTGCAACGTAGGCACGACCGATCTGTAAGAGTATCATTTCATCGGCCAAAGAGTATATTTATAATGATTTATAATGAAGCATGAGTGCCGTAGTCAGTATTTCTGAAGTTGTGGATGTACGCAGCTGGCATTAAAGTACACAGAATATTTTGAAATGAGCAAGACACTAGGCATAGTCATGACCATCGACTTGCTGGGAAGCATTTTGCGTGAGTACGAAGCATAAGAAATCCAGAAATCCGCACAATCTCAATGAGAAAAATGCGACATGCAGCGATCTGAATTTCATCCAAAAAGTGAGATCATCAAGCTGGGTTTTTTCTGCATTGCACACACCACACGACTGCAACTGATTCATGCGAAATTCGAGCGAAAACACTTCAAAAAACTTACATTTATTCTTGCAGAACCCAGCTAGGCTGATCAATTAAGTTACTTTGCATCCATCCAACTGGAACCAGAACCAGTTATTCTACATGTTTGAAACTCCTTGCTGTGCTGTCGCATAACCTGATCGTTTTCGATTTCGTATAAAATGTTATTATGTAGTACCCTGCTGATAAAGCGCTCATCGAGCTCAGTACTCAGTCAGCGTCCAGCCCGAAGAGTAGCGTCCCCTTGCGAAGGTTCTAAGATTACATCAGATTTATATATGAGCTCTCTAAAGAGATTTTTGGACTTGCCATTTGGATGGCTATTGCTTTCTATCCTTGTGCTATGTGCCGTCGGTTTGCCCACGTCGTTCGAATGCCATGACGATCCTGACCCTCCTATCAACGAAGACTACGTTGAGATTTCATTTAATACAATGCCACCCACCTTAAAAGAAGCCTCAACGTCAAAACCCGTGGTAAGGATTGAGTGAGCTGGTAGTTTTGAAACTCAACTGTTTATGTATCCTCAGGATCAATTCATCGATCTCACCCATTCAAACCAATGCGGTAAGTCTGCGAGTGGTATTGTGCCCAAAGATGGAACCCTTAATTCGACTTATCAATCGGAATACGGCGCCTTCCCCTGGATGACAGCCATCTTCCACAACGGCCAATTTATTGCTGCCGGCAGTCTGATCCGATTGGATATTGTCCTAACGTCTAAGGATTCAGTGAGGGAAATACCGCAGAATGAACTTCAAGTGTATGCCGGCGCGTGGGACCTCCGACGTTCGGGGGAGAAGTATTCTAAGCTCAATCGCTCTGTGATTGATATTGTAGTTCGGGATAATATCGCCATTCTCTTTTTGAGCACGCCCTTCTTCAATCCGCCGAGCATACAGGCAATCTGCCTGCCTCAGACAGATGCGGTGTTCACCGAAATCGACTGCAAGACTATAGGCTGGAGTCAGCCCTCCGACACCGGCACCTACACCAGCCAGTCAGATATACTCTGGTTCAGAAAGAACGTCGTCCTGCCTCGAGAGGATTGCGAAAGTGAATACAATCTCCTGGGCAACAGGACCCTGGAACCCGACGTCTTCTGTGCGATAGATGTGTCCAACGAGCTTAGCCCTCTAAATAGTGGCTCAGGGCTCTTTTGTGTAAATGGATCCAGTAAACACTCGGTTCTGGCAGGAGTGTCACTTTCAAGCAGGGACTGGAGCTTGGATAATCGGCCTGCTCTTTTTGCTAATATTCCTCATTATTTGGAATGGATTCAGCGGGAACTGTCCGAGGACGAGACGAACGAAAATCAACCTTCTTGATGAAAAAAAATTCCAAAACACTCTATATTTCGTCTTTAAAAAGATTATTTTCAAATATTATTTTGAAAGTACACAGTATAAAAGTACTTTGATTCTTTTCATTACTTATCAGCCGAACATTTTGATTTTTACTTGATCGTCTGTCTGTCAGCGCATTCGGCTCTGTCTGCGTAATTTGGCGTCGCAGTTTCAGAGCTTTAGGTTGATAATGTGCATCGACATTAGTTGTCTAAAGAACGAAATTGAAAAAGATTGAATGCAATTACCTATACATGTTTTGTATTGTTTCTATTAGTTATAATAATGATACTCGTATATCTTTTCGCTTTCGAATATTAATATAGCCTATACATATACTATCGAGAAATAAAAAAACTGCAGCAATTTATTTGTATACCCAATACTCAAAGACTACATGGTCTACTACTACATATATTCGGTTTGTGGTGGAAGTCTACGTAAGTGTGTAACGACAAGAAGGAATTGTTTCCGACCCCATTAAGAATGTATATATGTTCCTGGTCAGCATATCTAAATACATACGTCTATATAATAAGTAATATATAATTGTAAATTATTAGAAAGATGAACGTTGCACGTTAACGTGTAAGAATTAAGTGGCCCAAGCGAAACCAGATCACTTTCAAAGACGCAACCCCACTACCATCGTAACGGCCGAAGGGAGCTGCCGCATGTCCTGCGATGTTAAAGTAAAATAATGTCAGTGTCTTCCAGATTTGAGAGCTTGGCTCGAGAGGTAAGGGCTATATGAGCTGGTATTACGATGCCGCCTTCATCGCTTATCAGAGAGTTTCGTCGCCGTGGTAGTCGTCGTCATTGTCATCGACGGCTCTGCTCTTGGCGACGGGACGGGTATATTTTACCGAAAAAAACCGAGAGAGAGGCAACAAAAACCAAAATGTGAAATTCGATTTGTTGGCCAGACGGCCGCGATCGTGTTGGATCTGTGTTTTTTGGGGCGCTGGGTTGCTGAACCGTTAGCTGCTCGTTGCTGGTCGCCTGTTCAATTAGCAAACTATTTAAAATGTTTTAAACTTTTTCACGCTGTGGTGTTGTTCAGTTTTATGAACAATATAAAAACATTTATAAGAGGCAGATCTGCAGACCCCCCAAGCCCCGACCCGAGCAGGGGAGTCGAAAGCGTGGCACACTAAAATTGCCCTTCTTGTTGCTGCTCCCTTACCTCCCTCTTCCGATCGTACATCCGTCGCGCTCCGAACACTGCTACGGCGTAGCTGTAAATCCGTAAAACTCTAGGAAATACGGTATTATTTTGTACTAATTCGAATAGGCGAGCAGCTTTTGAGAGAGAGCTGTTGTACGTCATTTGGAGAGAAGGCCCTGGTACCCATGTTCCTACATACAAACATGTGTATGAATAAACCCACATACAATACATTTCTGTATACAAATAATATATACATACATATGTATGTACATATGTATGTATGCGTACATTTGTGTTTTGCCAGCGTGTTGCTTGCTTCGTATATCGCTCTGGCGTCTGGCTCTGGCAGTGGGTTAATGTATTTATGCGATACGTTGGGACTCCGCGCCGAGCTGTGGACTCATTTGTTTAAACAATAAAAGCACTGACAGAAATTATCTTGTGACTTTAATATTCCACGAATGCAATTTCAGCTTTCATAAATGGAGGTTTAAAGGTGACTCTCGAGAAAATAAAAAAAAAATTTCATTCAAGGTTTTTCACATCTCTTACCCTAATTTCTCCAAGTGCAGGCCGTGTACAAATCACGTTTTATCCAAAAATGAAGAGACCAGTGAGATATAACCGCCTCCACTAGATCACTGAACGCCTGGGATTTTGGATAAATGGTCAGCATTGGGAAGCGGCAACCGAAATCGAAAGTACTTTTCAGAGATCCCCTAGAAGATCGGCCCCCAATCCCCAACCCAAACAGCAGCGGCATGACAAAACATTTCCACGGAACAAACGCCTCGCACTTCGCCCCCCACTACGATTCCGATCCAGCTGCGCGTGTGTCATTACTTATCAACTGCGGGTCTTGCCGCCCGTCGCCTGCCGCCTCCCTCGTGCCTAGTGCTTCGCGCCTAGCCTCTACCGCTATACGTCACACGCCGGCAGCCCCAGCCCCCCCGAGAACCGACCCATCCACTTATACACTTGAGCGAAGCGTGTGAATTGCATTCGACAAACGACTTTCAAACGCTTTCTGGGCGCTTGTTACAAAAAGTTTATAATTTCGTATTTAACAAAAAAATTAATGTTTTATAACTTGAGTGGGGAGGCGGACCACAGTTTATAAACATTTGCAGTGCCCCTATGTAGGCTTCTAAAAAACAACAAACAAAGAAAAGAAAACTATTATTCTACACTCTCAGATTTTTTTACGTTTATGTATAAATGTGATCGGTTTAGCAAGAGATAAGTTCCATATTTTATTTACTGTATCTGTGTATGTACAATTTGTGTACGAGTACGTACTAAGGTGCTGTACCAAATAAGTCATATACTAGTCGGTGGTTGGTTCACATATTCGTACATTAATTGTAAACATTTAGTCGTCGTTCAGCAGGCTGATGTCATCAAAATCATCACAGGGGTCTGACGGGCATTACAAATTGAGACAGCCAGCTTTCTTCTCTCTCCCTCACACACTTCGGTTTTACGAACCGAAACAGAAACCGAATCCGATTCCGAAACGTAGCTACCACCGCTGACGTCAGCGCTCTTGCTGCCCGTTCTCCTCTCTCAGTTCACCCGCTGTCTCACTCTTTCTTTCCCTCTATCTCTCTCACCAACACAGTGGCTGGCTCTCTCTTTCGGTCAACGATCTTCAAAATTTTGGAGCCCCAGAAGTTCAACGAACCGCCGAAAAAGCGAGCGCAGGCAGCGCAATCCGCTGGTGGCTGCCGCTGTTCGCCTGGTACCCGCAAAAGGGGTCTGATTTTTCTTTCTATCGTGGATCGGTGCTTTGAGCACCGATCGACGGCAAAGGTGGGTCATGGGCGGTCCCTGAACGTGACACTGTTGGCGGCCATTTACCTTGGCACCCGAGGGCTGTCCCCGCGGAGCGTTGAACCTTGAGCGGGGTCAATGCGAGGCGAATGCCCTCGGTTCCGCCCTCGGCTAAAAGTAAAATCGAATCAGGCCCAAAACTGGGTCAAGTGAAGCGCTATCTGCGAGGGCGAACAATCCGAGCTCCAGGGCCGAACCGAGTTCACTTTCGTTTTTTATGTAGAAATCGATAGCTGGCTTTGTTCGGGGAACAGGCGCGCAGCGACCGCAGCCAGATAAATGCCAACTCAGAGCGAGAGGGGGTCGACAGCCGTGCGTATGAAATAAATTGTATCTGTATCCACAAGTGTGTAGGACGCACCCTCCACTCCACGCCACTCTGCTTCTACTTCTCTCCTGTTGTGCTCACGACGACAATCCGAGTAACTGTTTGTCCGTCCGTCCATCCGTTCGTCGGCCGCCGACTTCACTCTCGCTTTCAAAACATGATCGATAATATACAGGCAGCGGCTACCAGGCCAGCATAACACCCAGCTGATGCACTCCACTCCACTCCACACTCCACTCCATTTCTTGTGACCTCGTTTTTTTCCGTTGCTGTTGCTGTTGCCTTTGTTTTGTTCCGCTTATTTCGTTGTTACTTCTGGTTTGGTGTTGAAAACTTAAACAATGGAATCGTCGGGCTGTGTCGGTTCATACGAATGCATCGAATTTAAATGATGGAGCTGGAATGGTGTGTACTAGGTGTCCGGTGTGGGAGATGCACTTAGCGGGTCTTAGTATGTTAATTGCCTGTAAATTATAGGGATTTTATTTAAGTACATAGATATTTATACTTAATCCGTGCATATACAAGTTCAAGCTTTGATCCTATTAGAAATTATATTCACTAGTACTCGACTTATTTATATACATATGTTAATCATTAATTCATTCATTCTATAAGCCCTTCTGCTGATTATGGGCTCCACACAGATACCCACTGCGTTTGTTGTTGCTTTTGCTGCTCGTACCTTCAGTTTTTGTTGTATCCATTGTGAAGCGCGCTTCTGGTTTTCCAAGGTTTTCCAGTTCGATCAGACAACAACCTCAAGGTTTCCTTGATATAAAATTACTGCCAAGTTAGTGGCAGCAGTGGCAGTGGCGTTGCTGGCCCTCTTCTGTTGGCCTGGCCAAAATAGAACAGCAACGGTTTCTAAATAGTCAAACCAGTCGCCTGGCAGCCACTGCTCTCGCCAGACAGCCACCGGCGGCCAATACAATTCTCATTTTCGGCAAAACAAATAGTGTTTTGCTTACGCCAATTTGTGCTGCCCGCCGCCAGGCAGCCGGCTAGAGAGCCGGCCCGACGTATGTGATTAGTTTTTTCGTACTATTTCGAACCGGCGCTCAGCTCCGCGTGGAGCTGACGACGACGATGACGACGACGATGACGACGTCGACGGCGGGGCAGCATGAAATTTTTATGCTGATACAAAACAACGAACGCGTACGCGTCCGCGTACGCTGCGCACGGCAACCAACCGAGTGCCATACAAATCGACGTGAAACAACAATTAGTATTCAAGGTTAACCAGAAACAAACTGAAATCCACCAACGACAACGACAACGGTGATGGCGACGAGCCCCAGCTGCCAAGTGGGGGATCGTCGATGGGGCAATTGTTTCAACAGAACCTACATGTGTATACTCCCCTCAAACTAGAAACCGGTTTTATTTTACATTTTTTCTGTCTCAATTTTGCAGTCAATGATCATAGGATCCCCGAGCTAGACCAATCCTCGCTCTCATTGAACAAAGAAAATCAGTTTTATAAAGGCAGAATATTTATCTTAAAAATATATGTACATAAGTCAAGTATTGAATGTCATTAGAGTATGTCTGCAGAACTGTCTAAAAAGATGGCTATCAATTCTAGATACAAATCCATGCAGAGATACTCTCATCCTAGAATACTCGGATTCTCGTGCTGATCCGACTTGCCTATGGACCATAAAACCATACGAGTATACTCGTTTTTACTACTAAACAAAACGTTCGTATGACTCAATGATCAGAGTTCAGTTGGTCATCTGCTATAGTTTTATGCTGGCGGCACCAAATCAGTTTCTGCTTCTGCTTCTGTTTCTGCCTAGCAAGGGGGTTCAATGAACTCCCTGGGCACTGCCCAACCAACCTTTGGCTTTCGGGCCAGCCGGTAGTAGAGATCTCTGGGCACCTGGTCGCTTGCCCCAACTCAATTTCCTAGATAGTTGATGGCGTCTTTGCTGTTGGAAACCGACGGGCCCCCCTTATGATTTACGGTGACTCTCAGAAAGCGGGGCGGGGCCACCACAAAATTCACTTTCGATTTTAATTTCCTAGGAAGCTTTTTATAATTCCGAACAGGCGCCCAGCGTAGGGCCACAGGGCCTCTGTCGAATCGAGTGAAGATCACCCAGTGTGTGCTTTATTATCAGCTTTTTAAGTGGAGCTCCTCTGGTTGTCTCTGTTCGACCCATGGGCTTGATGTCTGGAAGTTTATGTATGTATATTTTCGGTTAGCAAGAGTGCGAGTCGACAGCGCTGGCTGTTTTTTCATGGTTGCTGACCCACTTTTTGCACGGCTGACGATATTCGGCGCGGCGCTTTCGCTTCTTTATTTGCTCGTGAAATGTTTTCGACTCTTAAACTCTGTATATTTGGTGTACTTAAAATGGCATGCCTCCATGGAAGTCCGGAACTTACGAATACGCTGCTGCTGCTTACATGTCAGAGGTCCCCATGCACAGAAATCCATTGTAATCCCGTGGGGATCATAATTAAGCCACAATAACTTGTCATATTTAAGCCGGTCTGACAATGCTCTCGGCTCTTACTTAACTTGCAGTGCCCCACACTCCACACTCCACACTCCACGCTCCACACCCCAATCCCAGTCCTGCCGCAGCAAGAACTCATTTACACCTCGCTCATGCTGTTGTACCAATCTTCCTTCTGCTTCTCCCATTGCAGGGCTGACTGTGGGGCTGCGCGATGTCAATGTTCGCATCCCATCGGCCGTTAAGCGCGGCGATAATGCGCTCTTAATCTGCAATTATGACATCGAGAACGATACGCTGTACACGGTGAAGTGGTACAGAGGCCGCAGGGAGTTCTATCGCTACACGCCAAAGGAGAATCCGGCCTGGAAGATATTCACGAAAACGAATGAAATCGATGTCGAGGTAAGTGTCTGCTTCTCTCGATGATGATGTTGATTGAAAGCGGAAGACAGAGAGGCAAAAGCCAAAGAGTTGCCCATGTAAATTGCATTAAAAACCTGTACGCTGCCGGCATTAACGATGAAGGCAGCCACCGGCCCCACCCCGTCCCGCCTCTCAGGAAGTGTAAACAGTGGGCCTCTCCCCATAGTGTGTGTGCATCGATGTTTGTTTTATGCATGTTAAAAAGTTTTAATTAACAATTTTGACTTTTCATTTGCCGCGGCTGCTTCTGCTGCTTCTGCTGCTGCTGCTTCTGCACCGTTGTCCGTTGTCTGTGCAGTTATTGTTGACTTTTGCTGACATTTCGATATTTAAAACGATGGAGAGGAATGACAAAAAGTATGCATGAAATAAATACAAAAAATAAAAAACTGCCGGCAGGAAAAACGTTAATGTCGAAGGCTGGCAGGCGTATCTTATATAAACCCTCGTGTAAATGTATTACGCAAATAGCCGTGAGCTGGCACGGGACGATTTTTGTGGATCTGCACCAAATTAATTGCTCGGGGCTATGAAGAAAAACTAGCTAAATCAGGACAAAACTGATCAGGACAGGAGTTTGGCTCACTAATTTCATTTCGTTTATTATTATTATTATTTATACTATTGTGGTTAATAGAATGACTCTAAATAAAACCCAGCACCAAAACTTCAACGTAAACAACGAGAGGTACTAAACGAATCGGAGATACTTTAATCCGAAAGCTGTATTGACAATAATATTGACATTAACTTGATTGAGAATACAGGAATTAGATTGATACTCAATGTTGTGATTGAGTGAGCTGAAAGCAATCGATTGCATATTTGTACTCAATAAAAGCAATGAATTGCTGAGACTCCGCTAAGTCCATTAAAGGAGCAAGGGTTAAAACTTATTTATTAGTCTTATTGGCTTACTTTCCTTACCTTAGTTAATATTAATGAATGAATTTGATTAATTATGGCTTAGTTGCTAAAAAGAACTTCATCCAATCAACATACTTACATATGCAGCCCAACATCTCGAGAAACTTCTGGTATTAAAAATAACGCAACCTGTAACCATAAACATGAGTCAAAGCAGGATATGATAATATTCAAAGTCTTATAGTAAACATAACGGTCTGGAAAGAATACAAAAAAATAGGAAAATTTCAGAAACGTATAGTTTTTAATTCATCTAAAATAAACGACGGTGGTTGGGAGTCGTAGAATGCTATAAAAGTTAGTGCCTAAAACGAACGGTAAGACAAGGAGGCAGCAGGATGGTCTGCGGATGTTTTTTGTACCTGATACGCAAAATGAGTATAGGGGTATATTAGATTTTTAGTGAAAGTGGATGTGTGTAACGTCCAGAAGGAAGCGTTTCCGACCCCATAAAGTACATATGTTCTCGATCAGCATCAATAGCCGAGTCGATTGAGCCATGTCTGTCTGTCCGTCCGTGCGTCTGTCCGTCTGTCCGTCCCTATCAGCGCCTAGTGCTCAACGAATATAAGAGCTAGAGCAACGACGCTTTATATCCGATCTTCTGTGATATGTCACTGTTACCAGTATATTTCAAAACTTTGCCCCGCCCACTCCCGCCCCCAAAAAGGGCGAAATTCTGTGGCATCCACAATTTCAAAGATACGAGAAAACTAAAAACGCAGAATCGTAGAAGATGATTACATGTTCTACAGTGCAAAATCTGAACTAGATCGCCTAATTATTATAGCCAGAATCAAGAAAACAATTTCATTCTTTCTCGCTCTGTCTCTCTCTAACACACAGGTTGCATGGTCGGTTTTGCTGATTGCAAAATATGAGTTCAAGGATCTCATAACCTATAAGAGCCAGAGCAACCAAATTTGGTATCCACACTCCTGTGATATCGGACCTTGACCGTTTTGTGTCCAAATTTCGCCACACCCACTTCCGCTCCCGCAAAGGACGAAAATCTGGGGCATCCACAAATCTCAGAGACTATTAAGGCTAGAGTAACCAAATTTGGTATCCACAAATTTTCGCGCCACCACCTTCCGCCCCCACAAAGGACGAAAATCTGTTGCCACAATATTGCACATTCGAGAAAACGAAAAACGCACAATCATAGAGAATGACCATATCTACCCGGTTGCTGAATCAGTTCGGATCATTTTTGTAGCCAAAAGCAACAAAACAATTTTCAGTGGCTACGCAGCGCCCGACGTCTCGCTCGGACTGATTTCTGTCTCTCTCGCACGCACTCTTTGTCGTGTCGTTTAATATTAGCGCAGTCTGCCGGAGGAGAGCCATACTGACTTAGTATCGGGTATAACTGTAGAGTTGCGGTGTCCGCAGCAACTCACAACGTTCCTCCTCGTTTCTGCTGGACTTAAGTTAGCTGCTTACAAAACGTAGGCAGTGCTAGCCAGTTTTCGAGCTATTGTGGAGACTGAGCACATCAGGATTTGAGACCAGACCATAGCGTCAAAACGAGCCATTCGTTAACTGGGTGTGATGATCGACACCAGGCTCTGTTTTCGGGAGTACCTGAGCTTTATGCAGTAGAAAGAGGTAAACACGGGCCGTGTCCTATTCCGAATGCTGCTGGACACCCGGGGACCGAAAAAGGAGAGAAGGCTATTGCTGACCATCGTCGTTCGCTCAGCCATTACATATGCAGCAGCAGTATGGCTGGATGATATTAAAGTCGAATGCCACGCCAGGGGCATCGAGTCTATTCACCGTCTGTGCGCGCTTAGGATATGCTGCGGCTGTCGGACCATACCAGATGACGCTACACTAGTTATCGGAGGCCTCATAGACCAGATAGGAAAGTCTCAGAGACTGGCAAAACCGCTGGGACATCTGTGAAAACGGCCGTTGGACCCATCGTCTCATCCCAGATGTCGGTGGCTGGATAAACAGAGTGCACGGTGCGGTGAACTTCTACACCACACAGCTTCTCAACGGACATGGCTCCTTCAGCCAGTACCTGTGCAGATAGGTGTGGTCGAACTCTACGTTATCTTTGTCTGTGGGCGGCCCGACCAGTTTAGGGGCGAGTTTTGGCCAGCCGCTAGTAGGCAGCTGTCACCCAGCAACCTGATAGAAGAGATGATAGGAGACGCCCCGATATGGACGGCAGTGAGCAGTTATGCTTGCGAGAGACTTAGGAGGGAGACAAAATAGGAGGAACCATCGTCCCCATGATGCACTGCTTCTTATGTCTATCCACGATAAATTTCCTGTTCTAGTTACTATTTAATTTATTTCTAAGTGTAAAAATTTCAAATAAATGAGTGATTAATGGAAACAACATACACACAAATACTATCAACAAATGGTGAGGGTGTCGGAAGCTAAAAATATTTCATATTTCTTAAAAATCGTTCGAGCCGTTTGGTAAGAATTGAACCACAATCACCGTGATCCGTAGAATAGCCAAAAGATAATACCAAACAAATACAATAAAAGGCTGATAGTTAGTTTAATAAAAATAATAAAGGATTTGGATGTGTAAACACCACTAAAGCTTACAGAAACAGTTCCTTAATGATTTTGTACTTACATTTTTAGAGTTTTTGAACAGCATTATTTGTACATACAATTTAAAGCGTTCGAAATGTGTTTAAGAAAATAATCTCTCTTTTACAGACAACTCAATCGAATGCCAGCCATGTGCTGCTGCGAAATGTCCCCACCTCTATATCGGGGAAATTTGCGTGCGAAGTGTCTGCCGATGCTCCCACCTTTGACACCTCCATTGTGGCTGCCGACATGGAGGTTGTGGGTAAGCCCGAACGATATGTGTAAATTTGAATACCCCGTATTCTTTTTATTTTATTTTTACTCAAGAATTACCAACCCAACGACCGATTATAACTGGGATTCACTCCCGCTATCGCCTTGGAGACATTGTCAACGGCAACTGCTCCTCGGACTACTCCAAGCCGGCTGCCAACCTCACCTGGTGGATCAATGACATACAGGTGCCGCCCAATTACTTGCGCATCTACGAAATCCAGCGTCACCTGGCCGAGCACCTGGAGTCGGCTGTTCTGGAAATCAATTTCGTGGTGACCGTGCATCACTTTATAAAGGGACGCTTGAAGGTTGGCTCTGATCTAGTCAAACCAACTATATAGCCTAATTCATTTCTATTATGTGACAGCTTAAGTGTTCGGCCCGTATACACGATATCTATGCACAGGAGAGCGAGAAAATGCTTGAGGAAGATCGTCCGAGGATTCTGGCCTCCGGTCGCTCCCCGGACATGAACATGTACCCCTTCGATCAGCCCGGGGATGTGGATGAGCACAATGAACTTTTCTTGACGCACAAAAGTAAGTACAAGTAGCGACGACTAGTACAATGCTCCACCTAAATATAACCCAAACTGAGGGGGAGTTTTTGGTATGTTTCTCAGAATATATAATACCTTGAGAGTCCCTAAATAGTTTGTTCAACCAATGAGGGTAATCAATATCTCATTTGATTAACTTCCGCACATTATTCAATGAGGTTTTGCTTCTGTTGTTCTCGCTGTTTAAAAATGAACCTTCAGATAAGCAACGGCCACGCCCTAATGACAGGCAGCTCTAGAACCGCTGGCCGCACTAGGCCTGGACTGGACTGGATTGGCCTGCCGGAATGGAATGGAATGGACTGGGACTGGGCCCTTTGGAGCTCTGCGGTTTGTGGCCTTACAAATCTTGGCCTGATTGTTTTTTCAACGGAAACAAATGCACACTGGGAGAACACAGGGGATACATTTACACGCACGCCATTAGAATGATAAACTGTGGGGCATTAAATCAAAGTTGGCGAAAAAGGACGAGACGAGGCACCTTATTAGCTCGTTTCCTCTGTGGGGGGGGGGCTTTGTGGTGGCTTTGTTGGCCATGGCAACGATTTATTAATGCTCTGCGCTAAGCTAGAAGCAATTAATTCAAAGATTAATTTGACCAGCGGGTCCCCTCATCCTACCCCTCTTCCACTCTCTTTCCCCAACCAGATTTCAATCTTTTGGCTGTACCAATCTCCAATAGCCCTCCTCCCTCTTTCAGATGTTGGCTCCTCTGCCGCTGGACTGCGGCTGGCCCTGGTCAACTGGAACTGGAAATGGAATCTGATGCAGGGCAATCAGCTGCTCACCTTCCTGCTGCTTGCACTTCTGTGGCCGGCCATCTGGCTATGTGCCTGGCGACACTTCGGCTTCGTGAACTGGAACCTGTTCTGGCACAGTCGCTGCAACGCGGATGAGACGAAACGGTGATGAGTCGGCCACAGTACGAGTCAAGTCACCGGCCACGGCAGGAGAGATGGACTTCAGGCAGGCCCCAATGAGTGGGCTGGCCAACGAGGCTTTAGTTTCAGGTTCATCGAATTCGGTAGACGGCGAACCCCTTTGGATCATCACCGAAACAATTATAGAACTCATAATATATATATATATACATATATAGCGAATCGAATAGCAAATTACGAATACAGAGCAGAGGTCCTCAGCATACCGAATATACCTACTCACATATACCTATACCTATGTTAAGTACGTAACTGTAAAAACCATACATTTTCAAAATGTTGCATCCTTCATAACCCCATAAGTCGTATGTATGTATCCAGTCAAAACCCGGGAGAGGACTACCCGGCGGGGGAAGCCCCCGCTAACCCTACGTCAAGTGTAAATAACCGTCACATAATCACATGCATGTACTCTCTAAGCCAGACTTCCAACAATTGCTTTCCCTCGGTTCGTTAAAGGTCTAAGGAATCCCTAATTGGGACTGCGGTTTCTGGGAAAATCCATAGTTCTCTTCGCATCTGTTTCGAAAAGTGTTGGTTTGAAAAACTGTACAACTGTTTAGCCATAGAGTTATCTTAAGTGTGATCCTGAGTTAAAAGTGTGCGAAAGGACTATTGAACGAAGCCAAATAAAGTTTCTTTTATTTGATCAAAACAAATTGTATTCATTTACTAAGGTTCGTTGATAAGGTAGAAAGGTAATGAATTACGAATTAATCCAAAATTCCATTTTGGATTAAAATGCAGCATTAATGAAAAATCATGGTGAAAAATCATTCTTTTCACGCCAATTCAGGCCCCAATTTAATCTCATTTAAAGATGGTTATAAGATAGAAGGTTTCCGGATGTTTAAACGACTACGAGTTATATGTTTTGGGAGATTTTGCCAAACTATTTTTAAGAGATACGATAGAGATAGATTCCAATTGTTGGGTATGATATTTTTACATTAGTTTCAGCAATTGCACTCCACGCCAACGATACCGAACTCCTTTGTTGTCCCCCATTAAATATCAATCAATCTAATAACAATAACCTTATTCGGAAGAATAATTTTCTTAGCTCTATAACTCCCATTATTCTTGAATTCTTCTGTCTTCCATTCAGCAATAATCCATTTCTTATTTCCTTTTTGCTTTTTTGCTTTTTGTGCTCCGTTTTCGGTTGACCCCTGAATCTATTTCTGGCTAAGTGTAAAATATTACGGCGTCAACTGCAAAAATAAGCAAAAAAAAAAAAGGGAGAGCAGAACCAGGCAGCAACAAACGCAAGGGAAAAACTTGTAATTTACGTGGCAAGGGGAAAACAACGGAATGCCAGCGGCAGACAGACAGCCGGAGTCCGAGTCAGTGGAATGACACGGAAAACAGCGTCAAATGGGTTGGACTGCTGGTTGTTGTGGCCCTGCCCCGAGTGTGGGTGTGTTTTGTATCTCAAAAAAGCATTTGGCAACAACCACCGCACAAAGCCGTGACAATTCTCAGTGGGTGTGTGTGTGTGTGTGTGTGTGGGTGTGGGTGTGGGTGGGTCTGTCGTTGGACGCATACTTTTAGCGTTCGGTGGTGCATTGGTGCTCCTGCTGCTGCTTGCAATTTCGCACTCGACTGCATCTGCATCATGCCTCCTGCATCTCTGTGTGGGCGCGTCTTTGCTAAGCATCTGAATGTGGACGAGGGCGAGGGAGGGATGACGACTGTTGCAAAAATTTATTGTGCATGTGAATGGGCTGCTGGCACCCACCGTGCGCAGTGTCTATGCGTGGGTTTGCTTTGCCAGCCAGGCCAATTGCTTGAAAATGACTTTTGGCAGGGCAAAAAGCAAGCTGCAGCAGCAGGAGCAGCAGCTGGAGCAGACAGACCAGGAGCAGACAGACCAGGAACAGAGGCAGAGGCAGAGGCACGGGAACGGGAACGGTCAGCAGAGCCAGAGGAGCTGCTTAATGGACAATCGAAAACGCATTCAACCGGCAATTTCGGTTTGCTCCCGCCGTGGCGCCGGTCATCGTCGCTGATGCCACGTTCGGCAAATTGATTTCCGTTTGCGGTCGCCTGCCAGCGTCAACAGGCCACCGACGACGGGCATCGACGTCAGGTGGTGCTCTCATTAAAACTGCACTGAAAAAGAACAGATCGGCAGGATGAGGATGAGGATGAGGCGCAACCACTTGCCGTTGTCAAAAGCATTCGGCCACTGGGAAGGAGGACCAACTGAGGCAGAAGAAAGAGGAGTCCCGGCATCGTAAGCTTTTTTGCAGTCCTGTTTCTGACTTGCATGGAACGCACAAACATTTGTTAATTACTTTTTGCGACTGCCCGGCGTGTGTAGCCCCGACGAGGTCCCAGAAAACGAAAATCGGATTCATTTTCCCATCCTTTTTTTTGTGTGCACCGCAACTGGAACGAACCCGAGAGTTTGTCGGCACCCCGACAGTTGTCCATTGTTATAGACGCGCTGAAATTGAAATTAAGCAATTTAACTTTGACAATTACGACACAAAAACATCGGCGTTGAACATGAAGAACAGACAAGCTGCAGTGGCAAGCAATTTGAAAAAAGGAAAACCCTCAAATTGGGGTGCGAAACAGGACCACAAAACGAATTTGAGGACAACTTTTCGCTTACTTTTCATCTCCAGAACTTCTGGGGTCGGTCTAAGTTAAAGAATATTTTGGGCTTCTTTTAAACATATATTAATTGTAAATGATTAAGCTTGGCGGAGTATGATGGAGTACAAAAGGGAAACAGGACAAGTATTCGAGGGTTGTCCGGCGAGTATATACGATTTTTTGGAGATGAAAGCCAAAGCAAAAAATATCAGGTGTGAACAGCGACAAGGGTTGCGAATGTGCTTTTATGCCCGGTGCTCAGACAGTATATGTGAGGTTATGTTTTATCTATACAAAAAATTCGTGCATTATATGTAATTATACGTAATTATATTACACGCCGGAATTGGTGTCGGAGCCGATGACAGTCGGAAATAATATCATATTGAGAAAGATTTTAGTGAAATCTTTTGGGGTTTTTCTTTAGTATATAAAAAAAATAGTGGCATATTTTTGTGCTGAAACAAATTATGGACAAAAGATTCCATCTGACGATTTGATCCCATTGTATCCCATCTTTAAACGTTTAAGCTTTGAAATTTTTCAGAGATCTAGACCCATAATGACAAAAATGTTGGCTAATATTCGTATTCTGTGATATTATTTATTTGAAACCCAGTAAAGTTGAGATGCGATAATAGATGTCTATGGATAATGTCGTTGAGCCAACAAACTAATAACTAGATCTCGTATATGATGAATGATATGGTAGATAAAGCAGACGCAGACGCAGTTCTGGTGATCCACAATATACCTTAATGATACCGTGAGGTCAACAACTTTTAAGGACAGGTGTCCTTGAACCGTTCTCGATATACGAGTAGGTAGACATAAAATCGATGGAGTGAAGGCATGCAATGTCTATGTACGAAATGAGGTAGAGATTTGTTTATAATTTAGGATGCTTTACTCGTGCATTCGGTGAGGTTAAAGTAAACACTGGTGAAGAACTCACCCGAGGGTAGTCATGGTCGCCTTGGTATACCCTATTGTATATTGGAACACTCGTACAAATGGAGCATCTCTCGTCCAGTGCCACTTAGAGGGTTAAGGGGTTGATAAAAAATTAAGAAAATAGCAACTCGTCTAGTATACTGTATGAAGCAAAGAGTGTGTTTAATTTTCACGGTCACCCATGTCAATTGGCACATCATAAAAAAAAAAAACACATACACAAATAATTTGGTGGGGGCCCGCCCAATAAATAGCACCATTTGCGATGAAAAAGAGCCCAGTGCTTGAATCAGTCTTCGAGAAATCGGACTGAATAGTCGTTATGGTGTGGGGCTCTTTTATGCTCGTGTGCGTCCTGGCGCTGACCAGTGTAGTGGGGGCTCGACAGGGATTCGGACCCGGCGATCAGGACTGGGGCTATGTGGACGTCCGGGAAGGAGCGCACATGTTCTACTGGCTCTACTACACCACGGCTAACGTCAGCCACTACACGGAGCGTCCGCTCGTCCTTTGGCTACAGGGCGGACCGGGTGGAGCCTCCTCGGCGCTGGGAAACTTCATGGAGCTGGGACCCGTGGACATGCACGGAGAGCCGCGCGAAGGCAACTGGGTGCAGCATGTCAATCTTCTTTTCATCGACAGCCCCGTGGGCTCGGGCTACAGCTACGTGGACAACACAAGTCTGCTGGTGGCGAATAACGAGGAACTCACAGAGGACCTAATGACCTTCATGCTTTACTTCTACAAGACCCATAAGGAGTTTAAAAGCGTGCCCCTGCATATCTTTACGGAAAGCTATGGCGGCAAAATGGCACCAGCGCTGGCCCTGAAGATGGACCTGGCCATGAAGAGCGGCGAGTTAGCCGAGCCCAACACCCTGAAGTCGGTTAGCATGGGCAATCCGTGGATTTCGACGCGGCACATCTCTCGCGAGCACTCCAAGTACATGCTGGTGAACGGCCTGATCGACGAGGACGGTGCCAAGCTGATCGATGCCCAGGAGGAGAAGATCCTCATTGCTCTCAAGGTGCACAAGTTCGAAATGGCCACGGATGAGTACCTAGAGTGGTTCGATCTGATGCAGAACCTCACTGGCGAGGTGTACCTGTACAACACGCAGACCCATGTCGATCCGGAGGAGGATCGCACCTATGGCTACGGGGACGACTTGAACCGCTTCATGCAGGAGAATATCAGCGAGGCCCTGCAGATCAACGGCAGCATCTACAAGGCACAGGTCATGGATGTTTTTGGCACTCTGCACGGCGATCGCCTCAAATCGGAGATAAACACCAGTAAGTTTCAGGCTGTCTGACAATCTAATGTTCCATAAGTAGCACCTACTGGTATCTGCTTTCTTAGTTCCTCGTCTGCTGAACGAGACCTCGATCAAGATCAACATCTTCTCTGGACAGCTAGATGCTCTGGTCCCAACCACTGCCACCCTGGCCGTGATCAAAGATTGGGCATGGCGCGATAAAGAAGAGTACGTCCAGGCCCGGCGCACCCCCATTTTCGTCGCAGACAGACTTCAGGGCTACGAGAAGGTCGGCGGCCGATTTGGCATGTACTGGATCAATCGCTCCGGCCACCAGGCCCCCGCCGACAATCCCACTGCAATGCAGTATGTCCTGAAAGCCGTGACACAGTACAACGAGTCTGCAGAATAATTAGTTATATAATCTAGGACATATTTAATAAATGTACATCTGCATCATCCAGCATGGCATCTTTTGGGATCCTAGTGCCAGCTGCCGACGCACTGGAGTGCGTTCTGCTGTGCTGACGTCTGATCTGGCCTCCCGAAACGTCCGGCCCGTGTGTAAACAAATGTCGGGACGGCCAACCACCGTCGCGTCGGGGGTCAATGTTTACCTTATGCCAGAAGAGGCCAATAAATGAGGCTGAATTTACGTAGTGGTCTTTAGTGTGTATGTGGTTCACGAACTCTCCCAGCTCACTTTCCAGCGAGGCCTAATTGTTTACCAAAAAGCACTGGGTGCTTTCCACTTTATAAATAGCAATTGGTCGAGAGCTGCAGGCCGATCAGTGCGCATTTGTAGATACAGCAGTACACACAGCTCCGATAACGAAATCCCCAGCACACGTTCAATTCTGTTCGCGACAATGCAACTCTTCAGTCAGATCAGTGCTTGGACATGGGGCATACTGCTTCTGCAGTCTTTGTCCTGGGTGGAAGGTGAGCTTACCACGAGTAGAAAGTACCCATAACCGTCCCGTAACTTGAAAGACCTCTGCAGGACGAGCCGGCTTGGGACCCGGCCAGCAGGACTGGGACTACGTTGAGGTGCGAAAGGGCGCCCACCTGTTCTACTGGCTGCACTATACAACTGCCAATGTAAGCGCATTTACGGAGCGGCCCCTGGTGATCTGGTTGCAGGGTGGACCCGGAGTAGCCTCCTCGGGCTGCGGAGTCTTCGAGCAACTCGGGGCCATCGACATCGAAGGCCGTCCGCGAGAGAGCAGCTGGGTGCAGCACATGAATGTGCTGTTCATTGACAGTCCAGTGGGAACGGGCTTCAGCTACGTGGAGTCGCACGGTCGGTATGCCAGGAACAACTCTCAGATTGCCCGCGATCTGGTCACTCTGATGCAGATGTTTCTCAGCAAGTATCCGCAGTTTCAGCGCGTTCCGCTGCACATCTTCTCGGAGAGCTACGGCGGAAAGATGGCACCGGAGTTTGCTCTCGAGCTGCACCTTGCCAAAGAGCGAGGTCAGGTGAAGTGTCGGCTGGACTCGGTGGCTGTGGGAAATCCCTGGACCTCCCCACTGGACAGCATACTAGCCTACGCTCCCTTCCTGCTGCAGCTGGGCATTGTGGATGAGGATGGATATCGCAACATATCCCGGGTGGCCGCTCAGATAGCCGGACTCGTGTACGACGAGAAGTGGATACGAGCCCTCGAAACGGGTTCTACAATCCAGGATGTTATTGGTACCTACACAGACGGCGTCTTTCTGTACAACACGCAACGTAGGGTCCACCTCGATGAGGTATATCGGTATGGCGAGGATCCGAAGATGAGTGACTTCATGCGTTCTAATGTCACCAAGGCCCTGGGGCTCAGCCACATGCCCGCTTGGATGCTGCAGAATGCGACGGTATTCATGCATCTGGGCAGCGAAATCTTTCGACCCGCGACTCACATAGGTAACGTGATCCTAATCTCACAATATAATACCTACACCCACCACCATCCCATTCTATGCAGTGACACGATTGCTGGATGAGACATCGATCCGAGTGGGCGTTTATTCAGGCATTCTGGATTTACTCTGCGCCACCCCGGGCACCGTCAACTGGATCAGCCGCATGAGGTGGCGCCGAAAGGCTGAGTACGCCGGATCTCCACGGAAATCTTTTCGCATCGATGGCATGCTCGAGGGATACGAGAAGCACGGCGGTGGCTTTAGCATGTTCTGGGTGTACCGTGCGGGGCATCTGGTGCAGCAGGAGAACCCAGTGGCCATGGCACACATCTTGCGATACTTCACCAACTTTGGATGATGTCGCGAATGGCACTTATATCGCGGTTCTACTTTGAAAGAACGTTTTTTGTATTATCATTAAAATAATCCCATTCAAATATATCGATCCGAGCGTGTTAACTTCCCAAAGAATACTTCTAATTAAATGCCATAATTCTTATGACGAGGCCACAGCTCCGCCGCAGCACCCAGTCAGAGGAAACAACAACAATTTTCTAACAATTTACTCGAAATTAACTGAAATTCGTTTGGCAGCCTCCTTCTTCCGCTCCATCTCTGGTTGCCATGCGGTTCGCCGCACTACACGGACAGACATTCGTCTGGTGTACCGTACAACCCAACTTTCCCTCTACCATTGTTAGGGCATTTTACAGGTGCACCGCATCAATTTATTTTCCACACAAAAGCCTATTAAAACTCTTACACACTTGGGCATTGATGAGTGGCTGGGGAGGAACTGGAGCTGGAGCATCCCGACGGGTCTGGGTAAATGTTTGCCAAATGAAACCACTTAACCTTTTTCCTTCCGTCGAAAGAAAAATGAACAGGGGGCGGCATTTGCGAGGACGAGGGTGGAAAAAAAGTGGCGTTGGGGCCGGAACCGCAGCAAAACAAATTAATTAAAAACTTAAAAGTCGTCTACGGAACAGAGCCCCAACGGAGCCGAATGGAGGAAGACACCAAACCGAAATGCGCTGTGTAACGTCGTTTTGACCCCGGAAGTAGAGAGACTTAATTTATATAAACCTTTATTCGTATTGAATCTGTATCGGTAGCCGATAATTATCCAGAAGCTATTGATCTTGAACTGTGCATCAGAACAGTCAAAAAATTGTTGTTTTATTACCATCATCTCAAATTATGAACAGAATGAGATGAAAGGCAAACGATTTATGAAAGACACGAAAAGAAGGCTATCACTTTCCCAAATCGCGGGAGAACATTATTTATCGTATTGCATTTGATAACATGAATTTTCCCGATACTTTTAGCCGACTATCTCTCACGTCTCCTTGTCATCAACAACTAATTACGAAATACTTACGGGGAGAAAATTGTAATCAAATAACAATTGCCGCAAGACTCGCGCAGATCCAGCTCAGCTGGAATTGGCACGGGCTAATGCTAATGCATGGTAGTGGTTTTTCTTTTCGCGTTCCACACGAACCACGCTCCGTCACGTCAACGCCCAAGTAATTTTCACACAACTTAGCGCCACATATCGTGCATATTAATTATAGGCAAATCTAATTTGGCAGTGCCACCACCAACCCGGACCCGGATCAGACCCAGACTGTGGTCACGTAGTAGGAGGATTGGGGAACCGAACCAGGGGCAGTAGATGGCTCGTTTCAAGTATGTGGATAATGCTCCTGCACGTATGCCACAAGTTCCCGTGGGTTCAGCTCCGTTGGGCTGGTTGGGTTGTGTGACTGCCACGTCTCCAGATCGAGGCGAGAGCTATTGTAGCCATGTCAAATATTTATAGGTAAGCATGCCAGGATTTGCCACGCAGCCCACAAATTGCTCTTGTATGTCGCATGTGGGTATTTTTCTGGCCAAGGGCAAAATAAATTAAATGTCTTCTGAAAACAAAAGAAAATGCTTCCAAGAAAAATGTTGCTGCCTTTCCAAGATGCGGGTGGATGTGGACGAGAAAAATGTCAGTGCAGAAAAAGAGCAGAAATTCCGGAAACAAAGGTGAATAAATGGATGCTAATTAGTTAACAGTCAAATGCACATGGTCCCGGCTACAACCTGAAGGGCTAGCTACTCGAAATGAAAAGCTGCCAAACGCACTGAAAATCTGCTTGACGGGAATACTTAAAGAATTCCTACAATGGCTACTCATAATTTATTCGATAGGGGTTACCAATTGTGGATTACACTGGCCCTCAGGTAAAGCGTCCAGCTTACAGTGACATGTTATAAAATTTTCCAGAAGGTAACCCGCATCGTTAAAAAATTTCTTCAGATTTTCCGCATCTCGAAATATGTCGTTTCTGAGGACGATTTCTTCTCCATCCCAGACCTTCCATTTGCGCATACTCTGGATGACATATTCGCAAAAGCTCTGCTTCTTTGCCATCTGTTGAGCTCGAACCTGATCCAGGAACATTTCACGTTTGCCTGAGGAGATCCAGGAGGAGGAACACAGATATAGAGAGAGCCGAATAAAACGTTTAAGGATCACTCACGCTTGGCTTGATTCTGCTGGATTTCGTGCACAGTCGGATCTACCAGGGACTTCTCGTACTCATTAGTGATCTTGAACATGCGATTGTCCATGTTCGCTTTAGCTGGCAGCGAGTGCTCGTAATGCGAAGTGCACGCCAAATCGAAATTGGGTCCGTCATAGGGGATGGCAGTCATGTATTCCGATTTCTGGAACATCCGGCGTCGCTCCTCAACCTGGGCTGTGCGTCTTGCCAGCAAACCGCGCACGCTTCCGTTATAGAAGCGGAACACCATGCTCCCCATTATCATCTCTACTTGCGACAGGCAGCTGGAAGGGGTTACAGGAGAATAAGAGCAAAGTGGCGAAGTATTCCAAGACACTCACTCGGACTGGCGCATCGAGTAGACACCCGGTATCTCGTGCGTATGTTTTAGGTGGTGCAGCTGGAAGGCCAAGCAGTGTAGCAGGTCCTCGACGGCCCTGATCTGCATCCGGCGCAGAATGTTCGCGTCATGCACGGTGTTCCTGATAGACCAGCCCCGGAAAAGAGACTGGATCTTGATAGCCGACCGATGGTAGTGCTCGACAAGGGTGTCTTGAAGGCGCTTCTCGATGTCCATTGCCATGCGGCTGCGAACCCGAAAGCCGCGCCACCACCGCTGAATGGTGATGGCTGCATGCCAGCGCAGATGGTGCATTTTTCGTATTCGATAACCACGCCAGAGGGACTGAATGCGACGGGCTGCGATGAACTGCTTGTAGTCCAGTATGAGCATGGATGTCCTTAAAGTCGATGTTGTGTCGCTGAGATCGATTATTAATTTACTTTTCATCTGCACTCACCTTGACATCTTCACTTGCAATAACTGAGACTCGCTTTCATCTTCCTGGCCGAGATCTCTGGGGGTTCAGATGTTATCATTTGGACATTGATCTCTGTTTTATTTTCCTGAACTTACTCATCCGACAGATCCATATATGTTCGGCTGATCTTACCAAAAGAAGAGTAGAGCAAATTATCGCTAAACATGTTTTGTGTTGAGTGGTTTTTATTGATGAATATGTGTTCTGCTGTGTTCTGCTGTGTTCTGAGTGTTTCTTGACAATTTCAATGAATTGAAACCATTTCAAAACAAGTCGAACAAAGCTACTGAGAAACAGAACTTAAAGTTTATCATTTTTTGCTGATATCCTATCAAAATCATACTTGGCAGCTTATACAAATGGTGTGATACAATTTTGCAACCTATCTTCTTCAGCCCAAACTCTGCATCAGTAGACGTGAGTATACATACGGCGTCGAAAAAGGAAAATAGATTAGATTGGGTGTCAACAGCAATAAAGCTCGTCTCGAGGGTAAGACAATAAAAAGTCAACGTCCCAAATAATTTAAAGGTGAAAAATTGTCTGATAAAGTTAGGAAAAAAATGTCATCGACGCGTCGGAAAGAAGCTGCCTCCAGGGGCTGAAAAGCGTTAACATTTCAACGTTGTCTCTGTCCTATGGTATTTCATCTCTGCTCCCCGATTCCCCCGGTTCTGTTTCTGTTCCCTGTTTCATGCGCTCAATCAATTTTGGTAAATTTTTGTTTTTTTTAATTTTTCAGCTGTACGCATCTTGGCACTGCTCACGTTTGGGGTTTATTTATTTCATTCCCCTTCCTATCCTTGTCGAAGCTCTCAGCGACTCTGCAGTAGAAATGACGGCCTCCCGATGCGATGATGTGTGCTGATATTTGACACTTTATTGTGTGCACATCATCTGCTTTCAAATTATTGTCGATTACAGCAATGAACTCAACTACAAACTAGTTGGCTCCTCATGTGCTAGAAAATGTAGTTGTTTATTATAGAGGAGCTACATAAAGTAAAATAAAGCTCATACATATGTACATATGTATGTACATGTATTGCCTCTATAATTATTCTTATCAGCAGAAAAGATGCCATACTTAAATCCCCATACGAGTATGCAAAGATCCATCTGCAATAAGAAAATCTTTGTGGAATATTCTTTATAAACTTGCTCGGAATAGAGCTTTACCCATTACGATAACTAGCATACACCTACATACACACACATGGCCACAAAGTCGCAAAGAGTCGTCCCAGTCAAAGTACATTTGGCGCGCCGCAAAGTATGCAATCAATTTTTATAGCCCACATGCAGCGCCCAAGCAGGCCCGAGCCGACTCGTTCCCGTTGACTCACCAACAACTCCACAGGAGTCTGCTGCCGCTGCCTCTGCCGCTGCCGCTGCCGCCGCCTCTACTGTTGCTGTTGCAATGTTTCACTAATAATTTTCAATATAATCAGCACCTGTGACGATGTCGAGCGCCGAGCAACGACGCGGAGGCATTCGCACAAATGTTCCTAATGTATAAACATTTGTGTGTGCGTCGGCAGCGGGTGAAGGGGAGTAAAAAATTGAAATGCCTCGGCGGGTGCCTATCTGCGGGGGGCGATTGTGTAAGGAGTCAGTCGCACATTCCGGCATCCGTAAGGCTGTGAGCGGGTTGGGAGGAGTCCAGGATGCCGCACCGTAATGCGCTTCGTTGGCGTTAATTTCGCCACATGCGGTTGTGATGTTGCCTGGAACGGGAAAATAAGTGCAGAGAGCAGAATATTCCGCTTAATGTAATTACCATGATTTAAAGCTGCCAAACGAAAGACCCATTGAATGGTAGCCATGATGTGGTGGAATATCCCTGATATTATTCCAAATGTTGCGTACCATTCAACTCTTCGATGGCGTTCATACTTCAATGCTTGCTTTAAACAGGTTATTCTTATGTGCCCGTGCTTGATGCTACATAAATAATTACGATAATATCTCCCAGCAATTATTTGTATTTATTTTTTTAAAGTAAAGGTATTCTAACTCACACGCATTCCCATATTGAAGCTGCTAAATGAAAATGCAGTCAGGCTCTAATTTCTCGCGAATCCACGGACCAAATTGCCTGACATCGCTGAATTGAATTGCACCATTCGTTCTTGTACTCCAGGCGCCAATTATATGGTAAATACTGCTGTCGGTTGGACAAATCAGCGGTGCTCCTTTGGCATAGATAGGCAGATTGGTATTGGCAGTGGCACATATTTCCGTCGAGATCGAATTGAGTGAGCAAGACCCACTGTCAATGGCGATTTCAACCTTGACGACTATATTCCGGCTAGGCCGGTTCAAAGGCCTGGTAGACCTCCATCCAGTGATGAAACACTTCTCATAGAAGACTTCAGTGTCAATGCCGAGCAAACAAATGGGTGTAATGTATTGCAGGTGATCAAAAGCGCTCTCTAGGATCAACAAGGCAATGTTGTATTCCATTGACTCCCAATTGAATTTCTCGTGTACTATTGATTTTTTGACGCTGATGTTTACATGGGCAACAGGTTCATTCTCGGTCATCAGATCCCATTCCCCAGCCCTCGCGATCAGCTGTTGTTCGGCAGCCACGCAGCTCGCCGTTGTCAGGACCACGTTATAGGCAATCAAAGTGCCTGTGCAGACAAACTGTGCGCCAACATCGAATATAGCTACTACCCATGGGTACTCTCCGAAGCTAGTCACCAGGCTTCCTCCCTTTACAGTCATGTACAAGCCATCCACATTTGTTACCCCGCACTGATTACTGCCAGCCGTATGTTCGCGATTGATGCTAACTTTCAGCTGCAATTACAAAGGAGCTCACTGCAGTCAACGACAACCGATAAAAACTTCGATTTGTATTCCTCACCTTATCTTTGGGAAGACAACAGGTCTCCAGATAGTGGCATATGCTTTTAGGCGGCTCTCCTAAATCGATGATTACCTTTCGAACGTTCCGGACAGTTTCCGCACACTCAGTGCGCTTAACACAGATTTTATCATTAAATAGGCCGCACTTCTTTTCTTGAGTCACAGGCTGCTTTGTTGTAGTTGTTGTCGTTGTTGTCGTTGTTGTCGTTGTTGTTGGCCTGGTTGTAGTTGTTGAGATCTTTTGAAAGAAGGCGATTTCGTCGTTACCAGAAATAACGGAAATGAGCAGGATCAAAGCGAATAGTAACAGCAAAGATCCAAACTTTCCAGTACGACTCGTCATTTTTAATCAATCAGTGAGGTTATCACTGAGGCAGCCGATCCGCATCTATGAAATGCAATAAATAGATGCAATTTAAATTGAATAATAAATTCCAACGGAGCCACAGAACGATTCGCAGGCAGTTGTCGACAATTACTGACTCGGTTAAATAAGACACCATTACCCTCATCTGCTCCAACATCTTGACACCTTTTATTTATACACCAGAGAAAAAAGCAATTGAGCTTGTAGTATTTTCACATAGATTTAAAAATGTATACCAATGGTACCGAAAATACTCTGGATGGAATGTGATTAAACGAGCGAACCCATAGTTTAAATTAAATATATTTCCTACAGATTTTATGTATTCAACTTATTTTAAAATAAATAAAATTTAGTTTTGGATTTTTAATACACTTATGTATGTTTAATACTAATTAATTCTGTTGCACTTCACTTGTTTTTCTGTTAAACTGGAATCCTTAATTTAAATATGGGTATCATTTTTCTCTGAGTGCACATTATGAATATATATTTATTTATATACATTGCGATTATTTCTTGCTTGTTTCTTCCACAGATTTTATAAAAAACATTCTTATCAATCTGTCTTTAATGTTCAAGTATATAATAATATTTTGTTCGTTGAATTATAATATATTTTATTTGCTATGGGAGTAAGTTGCTAGTCAATCTATATATACGAGCTCTTGATATTTTAAAGACAGAAAGATAGCTCTCTTAAAATATAACTTAATTTGCCCCAAATAACATAGCTTACAGAAATAAAACAGAATATAGTTTTATTTTTGTATGTAAAAAGCTTTTATATTGCTTCACGGGGTAAAGCAACATTGGTTTTTTGAAGGAAGCTTTTTTTTCTCATATGTGCTATACGTTTCTGCTTACTAGTGATACTTTTTATTGAATGGAATAAAGTACGAGTACAATAAACAAGGTGCAAACGATACTTCGAATCTATAGATTCTCACGAACTATTAACTGTGACCCCATCTTCGGCCTGATGGTGCTTGAGATTTGTTGAGCTCGAATTGTTTGAATCAAATTCGAATCACTCGAGCGAGCCATAACTGGGTGCTGATAGTAGTAATTGCTGCAAAGCCATGCATTGGGTCAGATCGGAATCTCACTCCCGCGATTTTGTGGCCCGCAACTTTTCTGTGTATCGAGAATCCACTGCCAAGTTCGTGTGGTTTTTGGCAAAGAAAATGCGTGAGTCAATATCGCGGAGCAGTGCTGTCAGTTTAACCCAATTTCAGGCAAGATCTAACATTTTTATAACTAGCTTAACAAATTTGCGAAAAAAAAATTTGAAAAAAATTCAGCTTATTTTTTATGTTTTATAAGAGCAAGGTTTGGTTGCGTTAAATTTCAGACAACCCTATAATTTTGAAGATCTTAAGAAACTAAATATATTTTCCGTAGGCAACGTGCTGCGGTCACAGACATTGATAGTATAAAGTCGTACGAAAAAATCTATTGGTTGAAATTGATAAAATAAGGACAATACTATTAAGTTTTGGGAAGATGTACTGGCCTAAAAATATGCGGGCAGAAACAACCCATTTAATCCACTTTCTCTGTTTGCTATTGTTAAATTCTGATGTGTAACGGGGTTCAGTCAAATGAATATAGTTAAAGCTAAAACTAAAAATTGCTCAACAGTTTGCATTTAAAAACGATAAATGCAATGTTAAGCATCAGGTCTGTTTTCTAAGTTAATAATTTTTTAATACATTTCAGCACCTTTTGAAATGCTATAGGGTTGCGCAGACAAGGAAAATGTTGCCACAACTATGCCACAACTTGCCACAAAAATATTTGAACTTAATTTTAAAAAAACACAAATTCTATAACAGTCAAGAGCAGAATGCAGAAATGGACGATATACAGCAATAAGCATATAAAAAAATATATATAAAAAAACTCATACCACAAAAATTTGTATTTTTGGGGTGTATTTAGTTTTAGCTTATATTATAGATAATATATGTATATATTTTTTTGTTTAAATATAGCTTATATTTGCTCTGAAAACCTGGCACCACTAAAGAACGGTTGAGGGAGGGGAGGGGCCGTTTCGAATGGAACCTGCTGGAGAGTACGCAATACTTCACTGCGTCGTCAGAGGTTTGGGTGAAAAAAGGCCTTCGCGCCGTACGATTATCCCAACGTACTGAAGAAAATTAATGTCCAAATAGTAAGTGCAACCGAGTGTCAGAATCAGCGCAATAGAAGTAGGTTGGGCTTTTACTTCCGCTAAAAAATAGCTTGATTTGTGTTAGAGACATTAATGCTACGGGACGGTGCAGCGGGTCTCCGCTGGTTTGTCCCCTGTCCAGTGATTCCACCCGGCTCATACACAGATGTGGATCCACACAGATGTGTGATGCGGCCCTGGATCTGAGACACAGAGGCATCGACTCCAACTACTAAGGCGCCTAGAAGAATAAAAAATTTAAATTTTGAGCCCCCAAAGCTTATTAAATGTAAGGGTAAATTTTAAATTCTTGAAATGCTCCACATATTAGTGTTGAGGCCAATACTTAAGGCAGTTTATTGATGCTGTGCCTTGCTCTTGATCAAGTAGAACACTGACTGTTTAATTGTATAGTTGATATACTTTATTTATTGGACTAATATGTACTTATATGTTTATAAGCTTATATGTTTGGCGATCTTTAGATCTCTACGAGATTCTGACATCGGCCACTTCAACCTGATAAATTAATTTAAACTTCTGAATAAGAAATCGTTAAAAACTAATGTTGCACAAGAAAACGGTGCTACAATGTCTAGATGCTTTAAAATATTGTATATTTTTTATTGGAAGAAGCAGAGGATGAATAGGTGAGAGCGCTGCTGGTGGTCTTTGTCACTCCGCTGCCACTACACCATCCGAAATTTAATTAATAGTGTATTAATTTATTTAGCATAGAATGATTATCTCGGCAACCGAAACAATTTTAATGGGTTCGCACTGGCAATCATATCTGGCTAATTATCTGAACGTTTTTTTAATAATCTATATTAACATTATATGTACATATTCAAAATCGAGCGTAATTCAGAACTTAAGAATTATTTTTAATTGTCTTAAAGATCATGGTTAAAGATTAGACTCCACCTGCCGACTGCCCACGATGGTCTCCAAAGCCAACTCCTCCACTGTCATAACTGTCATAACTGGGAGATAGAGACAGATTAAATACCCTGCAGCTGATCCAACAAAAAGCAACTCCTGTATATTCAATCTTGCTTTGCTTTGCATTTACCGAGAAAAAAAGCCACAAAAAAGTGTATTAAAAACTGTTTTGGGTGCTGGCATCCGGATCCGGTGCCTGATGAATGAGCTTCCCTGTGCCGGAGGTTAGAGTTGCCTCAGTTGACAGCCAGCCGCTGGAGGATAGCTCGGGACGAGTCTAGTGGCCTCCTTGTTCTCCGGTCCGGTCCCGGACCCTGACCGGGGGTTTCAGGAGACGTTTTCTAATAAACATTAAGTTGACATGAAATACACGCCAAACAAATGAGCGAAATGCATTCCATCCCAAACCCGACGTGGGCGTGGCCGGCAGAGGCAGATGCTTGCTAATGCCTCCCTTTCGGTCCGGCTTTCAGCGCCTGCACCGCAGGATATGTTTACAAATTGAAAAATATAGCATGCGACCGACCGAACGTGCAGCAGAGGCGCATTGTGGTACAAGGCTGCTCGGAAAGTGGCTTAAAATCCTAGAAAATGAGAGAATACTTTATAAGGAAATTCTCTTCAGAGATCCATCGATAGATTCGGACTAAATATTTTTTATATAAATAATACTATAATTCTATAAAATATATATAATTCTGAGAAACGATTTAGAAATTCGATATTATCTATGTGCTCGACCTAAAATTATATTACTTTGAAAAATTAGAAAATGGATCCATAAAAAATCATTACATAATCTTTATTTCAAAAATCCAAAAATTGCTTATGTGTCATCCCGGTTCTGCGTAGTCTCCGAGGGGAACAAAGGCCAAATTTGTCGAGATATTTGCAACGCTCAGAATAACGCATCTCGAACTACATAAAGTACAACCAAGTAAAGTAATTAATATTATAGTACATAAAATATCGCCGATTTAAAAATAACCTGAAATACTATGATTCTCCTTTTGTAGTATATACTAAAAAATAATGTTTTGGTCAATATCGTACTAAAAATCATTGCGATATGAATTTTTGGGGTGTATGTCTAAAATCGCTTTTAAATGACCAGCAGACCACTGTGCTATCCAGCTCGACTAAGTTCTCCTGCAAAAATGAGTTGTATCATGGGTCAGTTGGCGGTGGACAGGCGAGGCAGTCTGCCTGCAAGTGGACGTTGGACGTGCCACGCGGTTTTCCACTAAAACACGAATACATACCAATGTAAATGTAGAATATGGAAAAGGCAAGCTATATGGGTTCAAATACATTTAAACAGTATATACATTTCCTGCAGAAAAGTAGCCGGGCAGCAGCGTAAAATCTGACACGAAACATTCGCGTGACAAGCAAAATGTTGCCACATCCCGGGGAACCACACGAAGGGTGGATATTCACGTCCAGTGCATTTCACGATGGGGAGTTGGGAAAATAATTATGGCGCAAATGACAATAATGCGGAAAGGAGGACGAGCAGAGAAAGAAAGCAGCTGAAAAGAAAGCAAATTGGGAGTGCACACAAGGGGGACAAAGCATTGTCAAAGCATGGAAATAGGCCGCAGGATATTCTGGACAAGGTAGGTGAGCAGTTACCCCCCTGACATTGACAAAGAACTTCAGAGGGAAAGCATGCAGGGAGGGAGGGAGTCAGAGATGACAGATAACCTTTTATTTTCGCTTTTCTCGACATTCTCATATATTTTCCAGACATTGAGAAATTAACTTGTGGCTTGCCAACAGACAAACCAGAATGAAACAACAGGCAGCTCTAATTTGGACATGTCACAGATTGACAACAATTAAATTTTCCTCCTGTCTGCCGGCAAAATGAGTTGGCAAATCAGTTGCGCCCTCACCTAAGCAGTTGTCAGTCGTCCGT